CTTCTCAGGACTGAAGACAGCAATTTCAAGAGTTGATGTGCACACACCAGTGCCTTCTAACCGTACGTCAGAAATAGGGAGTGGAAGGAAACAGAAAGTGCATCTGTTTCTGCTGAGGGCCCTTTCCCCCAGGAAATCAGGGTGTGCATGTTGGTTCTGCACTGTAGGGTGCAGTTCCAGGGCAGGAGCAGGGCAGGGCTCAGCGCAGGATAGAGTACACCCCCAGGAAGCCAGAGACGCTGGGCCAGTGCAGACCACATCAGTGGGCTGCCTGAGTCCCTGACTGGGCAACACGATGCTCCCTGGCACTTCCGCCGTGTGTGAGTGGTGCCCACAGGGTCTTCCCTCAGCGTCAGCGAGGTCCCCAGGTGGAAGGTACCAGGGGCACAGCGTGGGCCTGAGGCAGGCACCCTGGGCTGAGCCCCTGTGGTGTTGGGCGCAGTGCAGAGTTGCGATGGCAGCCTCCAGAGTCAGCGGCCAGAGACCCTGGGAATCACGCAGCTGAAGGACCTGAGGGGACTGTGAGAGAGCGCACACACACACACACACCGCTTGTAAGGCCCTATTTACACGAAGAAACCCATGCCCAGCTCCAGGATACACAGCTCTCAGCGGGCCACACTGCAGTGTCTCCTCTGGCCACTGACTGCAGCGTGCGTGAGCACCGGGCCTCGTGCTCCAGTGGGGACGTGGCTCTCCTGCATTCGGCACCCAGGACCCGCCCATTCTCAGAGTGTTCGGGAGGCTTCCTGGTGGCTCACTTGGTTCCTTCTACTTGATGAGAGAAACAAAGCAGCCTGGCTCCCACAGAATCTAGGGACAGATTCGGCTCCATAAATACAGGATCTAGGGGAAAGGAACCCCACTCAAGGTGAGACTCCTTGAGATACGGATTTGCTTCTTGCCTAACAGTCTACTTACATAGTGGTCTAATTAATGCTTGGACACAGAAAAAAAATCTCTTTGCAAAGAGCTTCTAGAAGTCCATGGCCTGATTTCTGCAAACAGGAAGCTCGTTGGAGGACACAGTGGGTGCTTCTCCCTTAGGCCCTCGGAGTAGGGAAAGCCCGGGCAACACATAGTGCTCTTTGTGCATGCATATCCGAATTCATGTCTCACTCACATCTGACAGCGCTCACCCAAGAAGCATTATCAGACGAAGAGGCTTCCTCAGAAATGTGGCTTTGCTGTCACTGAAACCAGAGCATAATTGTTTCCCTCTCATGCAAGGAATTACAGAGCAATGTGATTATGTAACACTGTGCTGAAATTCTTCCTTTTAAAAGAATATATCTTACTAATAAGATGAGAAAACAGGATACAATTTATGCTTTATTTTTAATCTTATGTTGAATATCTAATTTGTAGCATAACTTTATTCTCAGCACTGTAAAGTCTATTTCTATAACAGAACAAGGCGCTGGTGATAATGGTTATGTCAGTCTTTACGAATACAAGCTCTGTTAGAAAAGGTATTCAGTTCCCAGCAGCACTGTTTTTCATGAGACTCATGCATTTTTCATTGTCTGGTCCTTCTGAATTTAAAGTGGATAAGATGTCCTTTTAAATGCATAAACAAAGATGATGAAAATGTGTATCATAACCTCCTCTTCATTTCTGCTACTAAAATTATAGGAGCTATGTATCTATCTTATGTTGGGCTGCATCTGGTGTGCTATTCCATGTCCTATATGAATAACCAACAGCTTGCTGTGCAAAATTTCACCCTGCACCATATTTAGCATCATTTTTGCAAGATAGCACCTTAGCAGGCTTGTTCAATAATGCACCAGAAAATAGCTTATTAATCTCAGCGTCTGACTGGCAGATGGAATACAGTGAAAGCAAAGATGTTTTTGTCTTTTGGAGCTAGTAGTTTTTCAAGATAAGCAGCCATCTTTCAAATCCTCTAAGACTTTCCCTTCTCAGAGACAGAGCCCTGTGCACGTCCATTCATTCTGTTTATTGAGCATCTGTTTCCTTTCTGAGGAGCACTAGGAACATAGAGATGAATAGCATGCATTTCTGTCTTTTTGGGAGCTCATGAGCTCCCAGGACTGTGAGTGCAAGTAGCCACAGGGACATTCAGATGAGGACACTTGACTCAACGGTGGTCACAGGGTGTAGCCCACAGGGGCTCCCTAGGCCATGAGGAGTTGGTCAAAGGGACCCCGGATAACTGCAGTGGTTACCGAAGGAAAGAAATGGGCAGGAGGAACAGGGTGACGGGAAATGAGCTGAGGTCCCTGGTAGGGAGCAGGACAGTGTTCTGGGCAACACGCCGTCAGATGGCTCTGTCCCTCTGCTAGCAGAGAGCAGAGGAGCAGTGGGCGGGATGGGCCTGGGCGGGCAACACTGGGAACGTCAGCCTTGGGAACTTGGGGCTGCTTATATTTCGTCCCTTGTTCTCGTGGTGGCTCCGGCAGCCAGCTCCATGGCGCAGGCTGTGACACGAGGCTCGTCCTCCTAAGAGGAGCTCGTGGCCCGACCTGATGAACGGCCTTCCCTTCCTGTTGTACGTGTAGTGCTCATCGGTATGGCCAATAAGCCGTTTATGTTCTCCGTCGAATCATACTGGCAGCAGCTAATGTCTTTCTCGTGGTTTTCTTGACACCAGGAACTGTCCTGGCCTCTACTTTGTCCTCTGTCCTCTAGACACTGACCCCAGCTATGTGACACCCCTCCCTCTCCCAGCCCCAATCTGGAAATTTCTCAAGGGTCTCTCCTGGGGTCCCCCTTATTTCCTCTCCTACTCTCCGTCCATTTCCGGTACTTTAGCCATCACTTTTATAAATGTAACTTCCATATATTTGTCTCTGGCTTCTCGCTCTCTCCAGCCATGGTTTTAATGCTGTTGAATCATTGGGAAGCTCATCTGTTGTCTTTCCACTAAAACCAGCTCCTTATCATGATTTTCGTCAGTGGATATTACATTTCTCTTAGCCTTAAAAACCAGTGAGTTAGCTGAGGATTTAGCTCAGTGGTTTCCCTGCCTGCTGCACAAGCGCAAGGACCCGAGTTCGACCTCCATACCAAAACCCCCCCAAAAAAACCAGTGAGTGAATTCTGATTGTTCTCTTGCCTCCTTTATTTTTAAATCACCCTTCCATTCTTACAAACTGCTCCACACGGCCGCACCTCTGGCCTGCCTGCGCGCCCACTCCCTACTTCCGCCTCCTGGTCCCTGACTGCAGACACATGGAGAGCACTGTGTAGCCTTCATGGTCTGGAGAAAGCAGCGGAGGCCTCAAGCGTCATTACCGTTCAGGGAGGCCCGCCACGGGGAAGAGCGCAGCGAAGGCTTCTCGCAGAGAGGCGGGCGGCCTGGAACAGCAGCGTGAGGCCCAGGAGCCCATGAGGGGCGGCAGGGCAGGCAGCAGAGCAGCAGAGCGGAAGTCGGGGTGCTCAGGGGCCGCTCGCTGGATGGCCTTGGTTATGCTGTGTGACCTGGACAGCACCGAGCTCTCCCTCGCGCTGTCCGCAGTGGGCACAGCTCCGGGCTGGCCGCCTGACCCGAGTGGGAGGCGCCCACTCCTCCCGCCTCGGCCGTCCTCAGCGGGGCGGCGGGGCTGACCGGGCTTCTCCCTCCCTGTCTCCAGTTCAGCTTCCAGCACAGCCCTCTTCAAACCCCAGGAGCTGCAGAGCTCCAGGCTCAGGCGTAGATAGCAGGGCAGCCTTCCTGTCCATACGGCCAGAGTGGCTTTTCTTTGTCTTGTCTTTGCAGAACCCCCTTCAGGTCCCCTAGGGGACGGCGCAGGACTCCCAGCAGCACCTGACTGAGTTCCTTTCAGGGACTGAGTTCAAGAATGAGGGCCAGAACCGACCCAGGCTAACCTCAGGGCAGTGTCTCCAAGGGCCTGTGGGCCAGGGTAAAATTTCTCCTTCTCGAGAAAGCAGATGGATGAACAGCACGTGACTGGTGGCTTTTTGTTTTAAATCAAAAACCCATCAAAGAGTCCCCAGGACTCTGCTCCTTCCAGAATAATAGACCTGCGGCTGCAACACGACCTCTCCTCACGCTTTTTGTTTGGAAATACTGCTGCTCGCTGGCATTGCATTGCTCTTAAATCGGAAAAGTCAGAGGCCAGGGAGGGCGGAAGTCTGCTCTTTATCCTGGTGTTCTGCTCGTGTCACAGCATCTGTGACTGTGCATTTTACATGGCCATTTCATTTATGTGCAAACTGATGCTCGGACTTGGCCTTTGGTCCCCACTGCCGTGGTCTGCAGGGCCAGTGCCTGTGGAAAGGGCCCAGGAAACAGCCTCATGGCCTGAAAGGTGATCTTATACCACCACACTGCAGAACTGGCTTCAGGAATCAGAGTGTGAAGTACACAGGAAGCATCATGCAGGCAGAAGAGAGCAGATGACCAGCACCTAGAGAACTTTGCAGAATGTCCGCATGGACCAGAGAGGCTGTCCCAGCTTTTCAGGGGGGCCTGGCCCTTTTGCCGGAGTCTTTCCCACCCAGCACTGCCATCTGTGCAGAGCAGGGTCTGCCTGCATAGGTACGGGGATCTGTAGGGAGGCTGACCCCTGGGCTTCTAGTGCTCCCTAGGACTGTTATGCTGCTTCCTAGTTGTGTGGCTGAGCAAACCCTTAGCCACGTTAAGCTTCAGTTCCTACGTCTGTGAAAGCTCGGTAGTAATGAGTGCGCCTTCCATACAGTATCACTGGGGTGAGTGGAAAGAAACAATACTGTCACCCTTGGCTTAGTGCAGCTGCAGCGAACCTGTGGCGCACATGCTGCAGTGGGCACACAGAGCCCTCTCTGTCGGCACATGAGCCAAGTGGCCCGGCAGCCTCGAGTCACATGACAGTTGCTTTTCTGGACTAAGACCTCGGTATTCGGGATTAATCACAGTGTTGGCACTTTGTGATAAATAAGCGGGTTAGGGTTGCAGTCTGGGCACTCAGCTCCCCACTGACCTAGTGGCTCCTAGCAATAACCATTATGTCTTAACTGCCACCGTTTTAATGGACTTCCTGCTTCTTTCTCAGGGAGATGCTAATCTCTGTGGCCCTGGGCCAGGTACTGTCCCTCCTTATTTGCGGAATTGGCTTAACCAGCAAGTACCTGTCAGAAGATTTCCACGCCAACACACCGGTTTTCCAGAGCTTCCTCAATTACATCCTTCTCTTCTTGGTCTACACCACCACCCTCGCTGTCCGGCAAGGTAAGCCCCCCGGAAACATCGGGTGTTTGGCTTTTACAGACTCCGAGGAGAATGTGACCTGTGACTCGATGGCCTTTTATCAGTAGAGCATCAGCAGGACCATTCCAAACCTCAGACCTCACTTTTCTGTTTTTTAGAAATATCACAAACACAATGAATGACTAAATCACAAAGCATAAATGGTATGAATTCAGCAGAAAGTGCAAATGCACGTAGAGGTGGAAGTATATAATCGCTCACATCTGAATTCCTGTCAGCATACCACCCGTCTCTCCAAGACTCCAAGTAGAGGCTTCTTCGGAACCTGGTGTAGCCACAGGCAGCTTCCCTAAGGATGCTCTCCCAGGTACCCCAGGGGATTGCAGACAGCACAAGTCCTTTGGGAAGGTGACCTAGGAAAGATAAAAAGAGTGAACGCAGCTCTAAAACAAGGAAAGAAAAAACAAAGCTACCACAAATAGTCAGGCAAGGTGGTAAATTAGTTTACACTGAAAATAATTAAAGCAATAAAACAACTCTCCCAAGAGTCGAGGCAAGAAACAGTTGTTTGCTTTTTGTTTTAAGGAGCATTGTTGAAATGAGGCGGTGCTGGAGAGTAGGCTTCAGAACCTCCGCTAATTCCACCAGACCCGGAGGAAGCACTTTTATCTATGGCCCAGAAGTACCCAGAAATTTCTGCCCAAATAGGAGCTGTGGACCATGAGAGATGCACTGAAAAATACTCATCAATAGGTCTGAAGACAATTACAGTAAAACTTTGGTTTGTGAGCACAATTCCTTGCAAAGACGTGCTTGTCACCCAAAGCACTTGTATATCAAAGCAAATTTCCCATAAAAAACAGTGGAAACTCAGGTGATGTATTCCACACCCCAAAATATTCATATGAAAATGATTACAATACTGTAATATAACACAGTATAATAAAGAAAATACAAAATATAAAGAAAAACAGACAAATTAACCTGCACTTACCTGTGAAAACCTTTGTGGCTGGTATGAAGGAGACAAGAGAGGGGGGTTATTGTGTGGGTGACTTTCGCTGTCACTAACAGAGTCACTGCTCTCTGTGGTTCAATGGAATCCTTTTGTTTTTGAGCAGTTTAGCAAGGAAGCTGTCCAATGACACTTGCTTTTGCCTCCTTCTGAGGGTTTCATGGGAATGCGACATTGCGATGCATCACTCACACTGCTACAGCCTTTTCAGGTGGTGCTTTGCTACAGAACTGGGCACTGTTGCTCACACATCTTCCTAGTCTCATTTGCCGTGAAGGGTTCCTCTGCCTTTTCTCCTCCTCCTCTTCAAATGAGAGCTCCTCTATTACCTCTTGCTATTGGAAGACAATCACCCACCATTTAGCAGAGAGAGAGAGAGAGAACCATTGGCTCAGTTGTGATCATGTGATGTTTGCTTCATGCACCACTCGTATTGCAAGGCACTGCACATTTATCAAGTTAAAACTCATTGGGAGTGTTTGCTGATCTTGCAGAACACTCACAGAACAAATCCTTCACAACCCAAGGTTTTATCGTACTTGTCTTAGGACACATCACAGCTCCACTCAGCAGTTCTAACACTCACACTGGTTTGAAAATTTTTAAGAACTTTTAATTTGTATTTAATTTTGGCATTATTAGATTTGTGTCCACAATAATATTGCTCAGTTACAATGATTGGGCCATTTTTAGATTTCATATTAGAGAAAGAATAAAAATGAATAGCCGATATTGAAACAACTTGGATTTGTTTAAAGTGTTAGAGAAGCAAATTTCATTTACTACTCAAAAATTGGTGCTATTAGCACTTTTGTTTTGTTTTATTTTTGGTCTTTTGAGACAGGGCCTCACTATGTAGCTCAGTGATCCTCCTGCCTCAGCCTCTCAACTGCTGGGATCACAGGCATGGCCCACTATGCCTGGTCTGTTTTAAAAAAATTTTTACAGAGGGCTGGGGATTTAGCTCAGTGGTTCTGGCGCCCGTCTCTCAAGCAAAAGGTCCAGAGTTCGATCCCCGGTACTGGAAAAAAAAAATTTTTTTTACATTAGCAGATGTAATTACTTTAAGGATACAGTGTCAACTAAAATCATAGCTGACAGCTATAGAGATTGAATCTCAGCTCTTGGTGAGATTTGGGAGCTAATAATTCCGAATGATATAAAGGTGTTGCCCAGCAGTTACCCCAGCATTTCACAAAGGCTGCTTCAAATCGGGCTTGGGAAATAAGGAGGTGGGGAAGGCGTATAATTAGAAATAACTTCTGAGAGAGTGGGAATGGGTGGCTTGGCTCATCAGGAAGGAGCTCAGAGTTGAACATAAAACTAATTTTATACGAGCTTGAATTGGTATGAAAAGAATCAGTTAGCCCAGTACAAGGCATATAATTAAGAATAATAAGATTAAATTAAGAACGATTTGCAAAATTCTAATGCTGAAAAAAAGTCGACAGGAAAGTGATGAAGTTGTCTTTCTGGTGATTTCTCTGGAGAGTCTGGGCAGAGAGGTCATGGAGCAGATCAGGGCCCGGGTTCCAATGGTTTCACCTCCAGAAGCCTGGTCATTTAACATGAGTGTGCACGTGCGCCAGGGAAAGAACAAGGAAGCCTTCTCAACAGCAGAAGGAACAACCTCAGCAGCTGCAGGGGAAGCCAGAAAATACTAGAGGACTAAATCTAGAGGAAGACCTGAAGTTAATACCATCTGTTTGCTTTCTAAGGTGCCAGCCACCGTGCCTGTGAATTATGCCCCAGAAAACAGGTTTTATTGCCTCCGAATTTGTCAGTGAGGATGCCAAAGCTCTGGAGGCCCAGGGAACCGCTGGGGAATGTGGGTCAGGAGGCGCAAGAGGCCACCTCAGCACGGCCCGCAGGTCCCTCTCCCCTCTCCCCTCTCCGGAGGTTCAGAGCACTGCAGGGCCTTTGGGCAGAAGGAGTGGGAGTTTCCTACAGGTTCAGCCTTGAGCCAGAAGCCAGCCCAGGGTAAGGTCGGGGAGAGACAGAGGCTCTGGACAGCATGGGGAGGCAGCAGGGAGGGCCCAGGGCCCGGAAGAGGCTCTAGGTAGGAGTGAGGCACCCACGGGCCCAGCAGCCCTCCCACCACCCTGTCTTGGAGATGCTTCTGGTAGCTGAGTCTTCAGGTTCGCTGGCAGCTCTTCATTTAATGTTTCCTAAGAAAGTGTATTTGCTTTAAGCGTCATCTTCCGAGTTTCCATAGGCTGGCATTACCCTAGCATCTGGAAGTCCACGTGGTAATTGCATTAATGCTGCAACCGGAACTCTCAGGTCTCCTTGGTGGGAACACAAAATGGTAGCACTACTTTGGAAAACAGCTTGGCGTTTGCTTATAAAGTTAAGCATGCACTTGCCATGGACCCCAGAGTCACATTCTTCCAAGAGAAGTGGAAACACAATGTTGACACACAAAACTGTAGCAGATGCTCATCTGCTTTGTTCGTGACTGCTTAAACCTAGAAACAACCCACGTCTGTGCCTGTTAAGATAAAGAAAATGGGTACTCATACAATGGAGTGCCACTCATCAGTGAAAAGGGATTAGGTACTGATATGTGCAGCAGTATAGACTAATTTCCGAAGCATTACACTAAGGGCAAAAAGCCAGACACAAAGCTTCTGTGCTATACAATTACATACTGCATGGTTGTATGATGTGGGAAGGGCAGAGTGGTAAGGGCAGAAGACAGATCAGTGGCTGCCAGGCCCTGGGATTGGAGGAGGCTATGGGGGCAGCAGTGAACTTGGGGGCCCATGGGAATGTTTTATATACAGTATACCCCCAGGAAGTCGCGGTTCAGAGTTTACAGCCTCAGTCATTCTCAGATTTTTCCTTAGACCCTAATAATTGTGGAAACCCCTGCAGTTTCATGGAAACCACAAATATCTTGCACAATTTAGATGTCTGAAAACATCCTCCACTTTTTAGATTGGCGAGAAGTTTCAAGTAGCCAATCCAAGAGCGCTATTCACTTCTTCTGGCTGCTGATTGGCTGCTGCCCTGTAACCCATCTCAGGCAGATGCCCTGCATCCTAACAGGCGCTGTATGGCTTGTAGCTGTCTCCAGTGCTCTCGGTTTTGTTTTTCTTAAAGCCCTAAGCTGCCACCAAAATGCCCTGCACCATCTAAGGCTTTATTAATGCAGTATTTTATTAAATTAAATTATGTAACTGTGGGAGACATAACGTGTAGGGTTTAACTTATAAAAATAGGCATATGGGGCTGGGGATTTAGCTCAGTGGTTCCAGTGCCTGCTGCGCAAGTGCAAAGTCCCAAGTTCAATCCCCAGTACCAAAAATAATAATAATAATAAATAAAAAATAGGCATTTGTAGGCATTTTTCTGATCACATCTGAAATTTGTGGTTTTTCACAATTCGAGGGTGCTCTAACCCGGTGAGCTTCAGGGGTCCCCTGTATCTCAGATATTCACAGGCGGCATGACTATGCTCTTAGGTAGATTTTGTCTTGTCTGAATTATACTTCAGTGTACCTGATTAAAGGGGAGAAAGAGGGAGAAAGAAAGTGGACTGTTACAACCTGAGGTTATCTAGCTAGAAGAAGATATTGTTAGGCTCAGTATTTCCAATATGTAGCTTTTCCTCAGTCACAGCTCTCAGGCAATGCCATTTAAAGTGTCCTGCTTTGTTGTAGGACCCTTTTAAACTACAACAACCAGTACAACCCCCTACAAGGTATCTACTCCAAAGAATTTGCTAGTGTACATGATCCATCAACTTATAATCCATCAAACAGTGCACAGTGGGAAGGACGTCACTTTCAGGTAAAGGACAGCATGGCGGCCATATGGTGGTTTTTAACTGTCTTTTGTTTTACTGATTTATTCTTCTTCCTAGGAAATAGTATGAGTATTGCTTTCCTTTAGCAGCTTAATTTGTCATTTCAAACAAAATATTCAACTTTAAGAATTATATCTAGGACTTATTTCCTAAGTTCAACAAATTAAATAAATTTTAAATAATTATGGTCTTTTG